TCCTGTCTGTGGTTTAGGATGTGAGTCCTCTCAGCTCTCAGCTACCAGCTGTCATGTCTGCAACCTGCTATCAAGTTGTCACCATCACTATGAGCCCTAACCCTCTGGAGCTGTAAGCCCGAACGAAATAAACCCTTCTTTCTGCAAGTTGTCTTGGTCATGGTGTTTTACCACAGCAATAGAAAAATAACTAAGCAGAAACCGGGACCAACAAGTGGGCGACTGCTGTGACAGACTTAACCATGCTGCTTTTGGAAGAATATGGAGGAGCTTGGAACTTTAAACTAGGAAAGGAGTTGAACACTTAATCAAAGCTTGATGGGAGCTTAGTGGCCCACCTTACTAGGAGCTTGGAAGACAGTGGTGATTTGAGCTATGTGAAAAGTAGAGGCTCAGCTCAAGAGATTTCAGATGGAATAATATTAGCAGCTGGGCTAGAGAGCAGTCCTGATATTTTGGCAAATAATGTGTCTGGTTTTTTTACTTTGTCCTAAGAACTTTCCTAAGACTAAATTCAAAAGTAATGAACTAATTTCTTTGGTGGAGATTTCAAGATAGCCTAATCAGCTTGGTGTATGGTTATTAGCAATCATTTGTAGGTCTACAATGAAAAGGAGCAAATTGGGTAGAAAGAAACACAAAATGCACAGGTTGGTGAGAAAAAGACACTGGCAAGCTAAATGTTACTGCTGTGGCTTGTACTGGAAGAGGGCTGTAACTGTTAAGAAGATTCACAACATTAAGGAGAGGCCAAATCTGCTTCAGAGTAAAGGGAAGAGTGCGCATAGGACATGACCCCACCTAACCAAGTTTCCAACTTGTGAAAAAATTTCTGCTCTCAAAAAGCAACAAATAGGTGGTCTAATGCGCTTAAAGGCTGGGGGCAGAATGACGCCCATGTCTGCAGCTCTGCTTGCAGTGTCTCCGCACGGTGTGGCTTCGTCCTGAAGCATACATGGAAGATAAACTTCCTCTGCAGTTTGAGTCATTGAGGCTAGATATGTGGCAGAGGGGTGAGGGGTGAGTGGGAGTGTCCCCTGCATGGAGGCCTAAAGGGGCAATTGTCTGAAGCTGTGGAAAGTAAAATCTGGATTGTGTTGGGAGACCCAGATATGAGGAGTCCCCATGGTGGGGTAGTCTTGCAGGCAGTGAAACTGGAAGGACAGTGTCATCTAAGGCACTGTGACATCAAGCAGGAAGCTACAGAGTCTAGAGTTTGCCCTACGGGGTTTCAGTATTGCTTTGATCTCCTATTTTCCCCACCATGCTTCTATTTTTCCCTTTTTGAATGGCAATATGTATCTTGTACCACTGTATGTTGGAAGTATGCAATTTGTTTTTTGGTTTTATACGGGTTACAGCTAAGAGACTGTCTTGAATCTCAGAAGAGACTTTAGAACGGTGTTGAGTCTGCAAGGGGAATGTGGTGGCTCACCTGAGATGCCCTATAAGCATCATGCATTCGAATACTTAGTTCCCAGTCGTTTGGGAAAGGCTTAGGAGGTGTGGCCTTGTTGGAGGAAGTGTGTCACTGAGAGCTGACTTTGAGGTTTTAAAAGCCATGTGGGGTTTCCAGTGCACTTTCTCTACTTCTTGTTTGATGTTTGAGATATGAACCCTCAGACTCCAGACTCCATGTCTGATTGTTGCTCTCATTCTGTCTCCATCATTATGGACCCTACTGGAACCATAAGCCCCAAATAAACCCTTCCTTCTATACATTGATTATTGTGTTTTATCACAGAAATAATAGTAATAAAACAGCACTCCCATAAACCAAAATATAAAAAATTTCTACCTATTATATGAAAATATGTGCCCAATGAGGATGGACACTGGCTTAAGTAAAGCCTCTTCAGATACAGGAAATGCTACTGAGCTCTCTAAAAGAACATTTTGTGCTAGTGTCAATGTGTTCCTTTCTCTTGGCTATGTGCTCTAAAATCCCAAGCAATCTTTCATATGATCTGGAGCTGTCTAGGTCATCTCTCCACAAAAGAACACGATGCTAAAGAAGAGATCAAACAGACAATGTGGTTAGGTTTGACACTAGTGGTGATGATGGAGAGAGTAACAGTCAATCAGCAACAGATCACTCCATAAAAGTCTACAGACTTGAGGGGAAGAGCCACCTTAAGTTTCAATAGTATTATTTAATAAAGGAGACCACGCTGCTCAAAAAAAAGTACACGTGGTTTGAATAAACCCACTTAAACTTTAGTAATTATACTTATTTTTATTTGTTAAGAGCTCTGTCAGTCATAAGCTATAGGACTGTTTGGCATTTGTTCACTTCTAGAGACAAGACTCAGAGTGTGTCAAGCTTTAAAGTCCATCTCTTGATTCAGTCATGTTAAACAAGAATGCTCCTGGTGCCATTTAGACATGAAGTGGTTTCCTTAAGGTAACTAAAAGTTCTTACTGGAAATACGCACTTTTAAAAGGAAGGGAGTGAGTCTGACTCAACCCCAGCATCTGAAGTTTCTTCTGAGTATAAAAATCTTAGTTAAGTGGGTGTGTGTTAAAGTGGGTGTGTGTATGTGAAATCAGTACCATATAAAATAGTGTGTATATTAAAATAATAACAAATAATAGAATCTTAAAAAACAAAAACCTCACAGCAGTGGTTATCAAAAGTCACAGGCATTAAAGTAAACTTCTTCCACAGCTCTCTTCCTCTTTTATCTTTTCGTGTATGCCATGCATGTGCCCATATGATGTATGTGTGTAAGTCGGGAAACGACCTCATGGGCTGGAACTTTCCTTCCACTGTGTTTGAAACAGTTGTCTTTGTTGCTCAACACCACACACCGCAGCTTTTAAGGGTTCTCTTGTCTCTGCCTCCCATCTCACATGGGCACACTGGGATCGGAAGCATGCTATCACGCCTGGTTTTTCATGGGTTCTTGGTGCTTATGTGACCAGCACTTTGCTCACTGAGTCATCTCTCTAGACCTACCACAGATATTTTTCAACATGAAAAGAATGATTTTTCAATAATTTTGTGGCAAAAATTCCATGCATTAAGTTTTGACTCATCAACATATTCTGTTAAAAAGGTGCCTTAGATAAGAGGCAGCAGGATCTTTTCTCTTGAACTTCTTGTTCTTAATTTCATTAAGTTTTAGCTGTAAACTAATGAGTAAACACAGATGGAATAATTCATAACGAAGCTATCAATATTAGATAGGCCCATACGACATCATATCTAATTCTGTAAAATGTGTTATAAGAGCCAGATTTAAAAATTTTAAATATATGTATGATGGCAAAATTTTAATGAAGTATTTTTTGAATCTGTATTTTATAATCCATTATTTTTATTTTATGTACATTCGAGTTTTGCCTACATATATGTCTGTATGGGGGTGTCAAATTTGGAGTTACAGGTGAGCTGCCATGTAGGTGTTGGAAATTAAACCTGGTTCTTCTGGAAGAGCAGCCAGTGCCCATAATCACTGAGCCATCTCTCCAAAGTTAATTTTTAAGGAGATTACATTACAAAATTTCTTTCTATCAACTATATGTTCAATCTAACAATACAAGAACAATTCAGTGTCTCATATCCTCTACAAACAAATCAGTAAAATAATCTAGTTATGAGGCTGGAGAGAGAGCTTGGCAACTTAGAGCACTTGCTACTCTTGCAGGGTGCCTGGGTTCAATTCTCGGCACCTGTGTGGTCACTCACAACCATATATAACTCTAGTTCCAAGGCATTGGAGGCCATCTTGTAACCTCTATAGGTACAGGCATAGATGTGGTGAACATACATATGTGTATTCATACACATAAAAAAATCTGGCTATAATAAAAATATTCCTAAGCCATTTGACTGCCTGCTTTGGCATTCATAGCCAGTCTGGTGTCAATAATAGCTATTTATTAAGAGTAAGTTCTAGTGTTATGTAATAAAAGACTTCATTGAAAACATTAGAAGTTAAAAAATAGAAATAAGCTAGAATCCCCCCGCTCATGAATACACAACAGGTATTATACACTGTAAGCTGGCTGCAAACTTGTTATGTCGCTGAACTTATTATTACCCTGAACTCCTCATTCTCCTGCTGCTGTCTCTCAAGAGCTGGGATTACAGTAACATGTGCGCTGTCATGTCCCGTTTAGGCAGTGCTAGGGAGCTGGGTATGGAAACCAGGGTTTTCTATATGCTAGACCAACTGAGTATGCACTCAGGCCATAAAGCATAATTTCTAACAAGGTATTTTAAAGACCGTCAAGAAATTGAAATAAAACTATTTTCTTTTGGGAGTGTATGTATGTATTTTCCTATGTAGGTACATGTGGTATATATGTACATGTGGAACCCAGAAGCCAATGTTGGGCTGTCTTCCTTAAGTACTTTTGGAAACAAAGTCTCTCATTGAACCTAGAACTCACTTCTTTTGCTAGGCAGTTTGGCTGGCCATCGAACTCCAGATATCTACCTGTCTCTGCTTCCTCAGTACTGAGATTGCAGTTGTGAACTGTTGCACCTGGATTCTTATGTGGGTGCTAGAGATCTAAACTTAAGTTGCATGCTTACACAACAAGCACTTTACCAACTGAATCATATCCTCAGCTCAAAATAAGAGTCACTTACAGAAATAAATTCTGTTGGCACGCCTTAAATTTCTGTACACAATAGGATTTGCTTCTTTCTACCTAGCTGCTGAGCCGCTATTACCACTATTATCTCTCCTTTGGAGAAGTCACCTTTGGAGAGATGTAATTGGTTCCTTGTAACTCTATATGAAAATTACAATATATATGGTCTTTTGTAACATTTATTTCCTTCCCATTTCTCCTGCAAGGACAGCAACCTTTGTTCTACTTTTTTAAATACTTTAAGCACCTAACAGGCTATGTGATCAGAATTTGTAGAGTGAATCAATTGGTCTCAACTACAAAACCACTAGTAAGAAACAGTAGGCAGTCAGGCTTGAGAAACAATAATTATGACAAAACCTAACATTATGAACTCATCACAGGAGTTGTCCTACCAGATAAAATAAGCAGTTCAATGATTTCTGCATCTCCAAGATAGGCAGCAGCATGTAACGGAGTTCTCTTTTCATTGTCCTGTGAAAAGATGAAATACCACTTTTAAAATAACAAAAAATATAGTTTGAATAAAATGTAAACATTATTAACTACCCAATAATTATTTCTACAACTCTACCCTGCAAGTCTCAACAAAAAATATTGGGTGTTTCAACTGCTACAAAGAGAAAAAGTCTTTACAAACGCAGTCGACTATAAAACCATAGTTTGAGTTGAATGGTTTGGTCCTACTTTGAAAATCTGCAACAAACCAAAATCCAAAAGGTTTTGAGGACATGATACCACAAATGGAAAATAAAGATATTAAGCACAATTATCCTCAGCTGATGTGTATAAGGCATATGTAAAATCACAAGTCTTATGATTAAACTTGAATCCCATCCTCAAAACAACATACTCTCCTCCCAAGAATTTTAGATAAAGGACATTCAACCTATATAAAGTTCATCAAATAATAAATAAAAATTACAATGCAAATTAGGAAGAAGTATGTACATACATACACATACAGTTTTTTTCAAGACAGGGTCTCACTGTCAGTAACTGGGGGATGAGACTGGACTGATGGTTAGAAACCTTCCTCCTTGGAGGCCGGGCTCCCCATGGCAGCTGCTATAGCAGCCAAGTTATTTTTAAGACAATAAAACCATTGTAATTGAAATCAAAACAAAAGTATTTGCTCAAGCCAGGCATAGTAGTGCACTCATTTAATCACAGAGGCAGGCATCTGTGAGTTTGAGGCCAGCCTAGTCTACGGTGTGTAACAGCTAGGGCTGTTACACAGAGACACCCTATGTGGTAGTTCAAATGTAACTGACCCCTGTAAACTCATAGGGAGTGGCACTATTGGGAGGTGTGGCTTTGTTGCAATAGATATGGCCTTGTTAGAGGAAGTGTGTCATTGTGGGGAGGGCTTTGAGGTCTCATACATGCTAAAGGCATGCCTAGAGTTCCAGTTCACTTCCGGTTGCCTTTGGATCAAGATGTAGAATTCTTAACTCCTTCTCTGCCACCATGTCTGCCTGCATGCTGCCATGTCTCACCATAACGATAATGGACTGAACCTAAGCCTCACAATTAAATATTTTCCTTTATGAGAGTCGTCATAGTGTCTCTTCACAGCTATAGAAACCCTAAGACACCCTGTATTAACAGAGAGAGACAGAGACAGAGAGAGACAGGGAGGGAGGGTGGGGAGAGAGAGAGAGAGAGAGAGAGAGAGAGAGAGAGAGAGAGAGAGAGAGAGAGAGAGAGAGAGAGAGAAAGAGAAAACAAGCTAAAATTTGTCATTTACTGTATGATAAGAGGTTACATCCCTAGATTACCTAGTTATGTTATCTATAATTAGTGTTGATCATTTTAAAAGGTAACTGTCAAGCTGGGTGACTACACATGCCTAATAGCAGCATATGGGAAGCTGAGGCAGAAATACCATAGCTCTATCCTGGGCTACACTGAGGGATTCCATACCAGGTTAAGCGACAGCAAGATCCTGTCTGAAAAGAACCAAAACTAGCTTACAGCTGGAGTATTTTCCCACCTCCCACAGGCTAAAAGGCAGATGTGAACCAAGCCAGCTTTGAACATGTAGACATAAGGCCAGTAGTGCAGCAGACTGCCAAACACGACTGTGAATCATTTCATAAGAACCAAGCCACCATCTTGGAACACTGACTTCTAGACTACTTGGAAAAATATGCTTATATAAAGTAAAATAACCTCTGGTCTTCATAGTTCACCCCCCACCCCCGGGGAGGGTAGGGGAAGTGGGGGGAGAATGATGGGGAATGTTCTTCTGTACATGTTTCTCTTATTGGTTGATGAATAAAACATTGTTGGCCAATAGAGAAGCAAGATAGGCAAGACTAGGAGACAAGGAGATTTCTGGAAAATGTAGCAAAGAGAAGTTGACACGTGATCCAGGCAGAAAGTGATGAAGCATGCAGTAACAGTATATAAGCAAGAACAAACAGGAAATTGTGCTTTTTTTCTGTAGAGTCACCAAAAAGACACGATGTAGATCCCAACAGAGTAAGAAACCTGAACCTTTTCTCCAGTAAGATACAGCCACATGGAGATACTTAGATTTATAGAAATGGGTTAATATGCCAGGCATTGGTGGAGCACACCTTTAGTCCCAGCACTCGGGAGGCAGAGGCAGGCCGACCTCTGTGAGTTCAAGGCCAGCCTGGTCTATAGAGTGAATTCTAGGAAGCCTACAAAACAATACAGAGAAATCTTGTTTCAAAAAAACCAAGAGACAAAAAAAAAAAAAAAGAAAGAAACCTTAGCCAAAGGCCAACAGCTTTATGCTAATGAAGCATCATGTGTTTAACTGGGGCAGAGAAGGGTGGGGGACACTGGCGGGGCCAGAAAAACCGCATGTTACAGGAGAATGGTTTGTATGTGTAGATACATGGGTGTGTATGTGTGCATGTAGAGGCCACATGTCAACCTCAGTACTCATTCCTCAAGAACTGTCCCCTTTGTTCAGACAGGCTCAATCACTGGGACCTGAGGCTTACTGATTAGGCTAGTTTGGTTGGCCAGTGATCCCCAGGAATCTGTGCCTTCCTAGTGTTAACAGTATTACAAGCATGTACCACCACATCCAGTTCTTATGTGAGTGCTCAAACTCTGCTCCTCATACCTGTCCAGAAAGTATTTTACCCACTGATGTATCACCTCAGCCTCAAGACTGTAAAAGATAATAAATTTACTTGAATTTGGAATAATATTTTAGTTTGAGAATCCCTAAATTACTTTAAGAATAGCTGAGAAAAGGTGTGTGTATGGGGGGGGCTTAGCAATATCATATAAAAATACTATAATGGGAAATTATGTTAAAGGAGTTAGTAAGCTAAGAGTCCTTACCTCTATGATCAGAGTTAGAATCTACTGCATCAGGTTTTTATTTTAATTTTCATCCCAGGAAACGGAATAGACTGAGAGAAATCACACACTAAACAACTGTTGGAAAGCTAACGCAATATCTAGCAAACATTGAGAGATAAAGATTTACTGAAAGTTGAATACTAATTTAGAGATTTTGGTGCTACTCGTTAACCAAACAAACTCTGCTAAAGTAAAGATGTAACAGATCTAGTCAAATAGAAAACCATCTCTATTACAATGAATAAACATGACAGAAAGCACAATGACACACAAAGTGAGTCATCTGTGTCATGCCTGGAATCCTATGACTCAGTGCTTGGACTACTGTGAAGCTATGAATGACTCATATGAACATAATACTCCTCTATGTAAATCAAAATAAAAGGAGGGAACTAATTAATAACAAAAAATACAGATCTTACTTTACTACAATTAAACACTGAAAATTAGGCAAAAGCTAAAATTCCCATTAGCAAAATATGGCTTTTAAAATTACTTCTTTCTTAAAATTAAGGAATTCCAGCCTGTTTTTAGAATAAATAAGAGTTTATTGAATCACTGTGGGAAGCAAAATACTGAAAACTAACTGGTTACTTAAATAATGGGACACAAGAAGCTCTTCATCAATCTTTATTTAACTGACTCAAATGATTAACCAATATTCTCGATTTACGGGATAAAATGAATAGTTACTTTTTGCACATGAGGTTCTTTGACTCATACAGTCTTCTACTAACAAATGCACACACTCTTGATCATACAGTGGGGTCTGTATTTACTAAGGGTGAACTGTGTTTATAACTTATGTATATGTGGTTTATTTAAATAGCATTTAAAATACAATCAGGAATGAACCAAATATTTCTAAGATGAACTGGCTAAACAGTATTTTAACAATTTAATAAGGGAAAGTTATGAAAACATTTAACTTGCTGCAGAACTGAAGAGGGAGAGACATCTGAAACACTAGGCTCTGTGCCTCAGTAGAGACTAAAAGTGAAAAGGACTAATTTTGCCTTAAAGAGCATTTCCCTGTATACCGAAGGCCGGTCTAGATCTCTTAGTAATCTATGGAAGCTCAAACTCAAGATCATCCTAGCTCTGCTTCCATGGTGATGAGACTATTGGCACATGCCACACCTGGCTTACGATGGGTAGTTAAGGGCTTAATTTCTCACACCACTTACAGAAACTCAAAATGGAAGTTACAGATAATATACTATGGGTATAGCCCAAGAAAAAATATTCCTATTACTGAGTCTCACATTATTAATGAAAAGCCTCAAGCTTAATTTTAAAAAATTCCTGGTGAAAATACTGTTATATTGAAATGCTTAGCAACCATCATACTTTAATATATTAGAAAAGATTACAAGTTGGACATCTACACAATAAAATACAGTGGTTACAATTTAAACTGAGAAGCAGTCACCACAACAAAGTATAACCATTTGCCATCAAGCCTGATGACCTGAGTTCAATCCCTGGAACCTTAGACTCTAACATGTTGTTCCCTGACCTCCACATATGAGTTATCGCATACACATTGCGCGTGCACGCCCACGTATGTGCACACACATATGCATGCACACACATGGGGGGGGATTAAATAGATGTATTTTAAAAATCAAAATAAGGAGCAGATCTCAATATCCCTCATCAATGGAACAATCTCTAACACATGGTGTAGTTCTAGAGCAACTGTGTATAACAGATACTTAAGCTTGAATAAGTATTATGTATCTCTGGAATACTACTTAGAAATAATACACTGACAGGAAGAAAGCCAGAAGAGTAGGGTTTGAAGTATGAAAAGGAGCATTCTTAAGTAATCCATGTATTTGTTTTAAAAATAAAAACAAAAAGGGCTAAGAGAGATGACTCAACAGTTAAGAGCACTGATTCCAGAGGAACGGGGTTCAATTCCCAGTACCCACAAGGCAGCTCATAACTGTATGACAGACATACATTCAGGCAAAATACTAATGCACATAAAATAAACAAACAAATGCAACCAAAGTAAGTGAATAGAGTTGACTGATGTTCCCTGTCGCCAGCCCCGCCCCTTCCCCCTTCTCTCAAAAGAAACATACTATACCATAAGAAGAGTAAGTAACTGTAAG